GTCAAGCACCTCCTAAAACATTCCCTCCCACCCTGCTTGATCCACCCTCCTTCCCTCTGCCCTTCTCCCTACTAACTCCATGTTACCCAAGGACAGAGTTCTCAGAGCTCAGTTTTGTATGCATCAAATATTAAGCATTAATCTAACGCCAGCAAAACTATCAAAGAAATTAAAGCCAAAAATGATCCCATAAACCACTTTTTGATTACAAGACTGCATACACCCACTAAGAGCACTTTATCACCAAGTTGCTTGGTTTTTTGCTAACTTCCCCTGTGAATTTCATTAAGGTCACAAAGCAAAAGGCCAAACTGAAAGCCTTGAGTACATGTCCCTCTTTACTTAGTAATACTGAATGAACCTCCCTCTGCTTTGTAGTTCCTTCTCTTAGAAACCATCTTATGAACTATAGCATTCAAGTATCTTCTTCCTAAAATATTCTTTAATATAGTTCACTCTACATAGTTCTGTAACTTGAAAAACTCAAGAAAGTTTTCAAAACTAACTCTTCCCCAAACCTACACGCCTTCAAATACATTATGTTTCCCCATAGCATTTGGCCAGAGACGCCTGTCCTTTCTCACAGAATAAAACTAACTTTATGGTCTCAAGCAGAAAAAGCCATTTTCCAGAGCCAGCTCTATCGCAGCCTCATCAAGCTGCAAAGTAAGTCAGAAGCCTCAAAAGACACCATGAAAACAGGAGGACAGGGAGATACACATTTGAGCTTTGCTCAAATATGTTCCCATTAATAAAGCCACGTATTAACGGTTACCCTGAGGACTTTACTCTTAGCAAGCCAAATTCAAGTATTCTGAAATAAATCCTTTAGGCTGAGGATCAAGGAGAGGATTCAGGATTATTTACTGAAGGAGCAGGGAGAAAGGGTGAGCGTACACTGTCCCTTTTACACGAAAGTGCATATTATGAGGTCTGAAGCACAAACTAATCAAAGCACATGCTGTCTGCTTTGTACCTGCCAGAAATCCTGGTGGAAGGGGAGAGGGTTAGAAAAGGGAAGAAAATGAGGGAATGCTTGGTTACACCAAAAAAAGCAAACCATAATTAGAATAAAGACACAACTATCAGAGAAATTAGTAGCTGGAAGAAACACCCACGAGGTACCTAGAAACCAGAATAAAAGAGGACATACAGCAACCAGAGCATTTGAGTAGTATCTGCCAAACGAGCCCTGTGAAAACGAGCAACAGAATTAGCAGTACAAAAAGATAACAGCAAGTAGAGCTCTGTCAAAACTGAAATACACCACAAACGTTTGGTAGAGGAGGCAGGAAAGGATGAAGCGTGTTCTGTATGTGGACATAAAGCAACCCAGGTGTCCACAGAGATGTTTGTGCACCATGCATTTACCTGTGTTAGAAGCAATTAAGTATTTTCTTTGATGAAATTTGTTTTTATTAAAAACAAGCCAAGAGACGAATTTGCAGTTCAGTATCCGCACAGGTCCCAGCAAACAGGGAAAAGCGGTGAGGAACACAAGAGTAACTCAAAACTGCTAACCAGAGCAGATGGGAGGGCCAAGTTTGGCTGGGAGGAGAAAGCTAGCAAGCAAAGAAACCCACACACATGGACAGTGGTGTCAGCAAAGAAAGTCAAGAAGAGAAAAATTGTGTTAGCTCAGCTCAGATTTGCTGATTATCTGCAATAAACTGCATTTCTGCTTGGCTCCACAAAGGGTCACAGGCAAGAATTACCTCCCACCAGTTTGTTATGACGCTTTTGGGGATGACAGAGGAACTTTCATATAAACAAGCATAAGGTTATTATCTATGTAAGAAGGTGCCTCCTGGTTATTATGTAAATATTACCTGCACTGAGATCAGAAGGTGAAGGAATTTAAAAGTGGGAAATCTGAAACTGGACAGTGATGTTTTACACATATTATGGACCGGGATAGCTGAATGCTTCAAGGTATCTCCAAGCAAGCCACAACCTAGACTCAGCAGCTCAAACTGCTGACACTGGGGACTCATTTATTTCAAACAGTCTTACAACAGACATTGGCAAAACCTCATACAGTTGGATTTAGAGGACTCCTCACCTGTTTTCATTGCATCTAAGCCAGAGAAAGTACCGAGTATCCTCAGTTAACAGGCTCAGTAAATCAACTGCACGTGCACTTACACTGCTATTTACCAACTGCAATAGCTTGCCTTTATTTAGGTATCATTTAGAGTTGCATCCTTTCGAATCCTTTCAGAGGCGCTTAAACATCACAGGAGCTCAGAGCTCTGATCCAGTGTTTGGCTTCTGAATGACAACAGGACTTTGAACTTGTCTCACTGCAAGCTTGGGTCTACAGCAGCTTACACCACTCTGATGAAAGTCTCACGCTCCAGCCTTGGCTCACACACAAAGCAAAGGACCCCAGAAATTCAGGATAATAAACAAAAGCTCCTTTTCCCCCCCTCTTTCAACCTGGCAGCAAGATCCTTCAGTCCACCAGAAAAGGACGGTCCATCTACCTCCAGTCCTTTCCATGGGGATCCTTCCTGAGTACATTTTTCAGGCTCCTCTGCTCCTGAGATGTTGTTTAAATCATCTGGCAAGAAATCTTCCTCCTGAGCTGACTCCCAGCAACTCCTCTTTAATGAACACACACCTCCAGTTACAGGGCCTTGGCAGGTAAGAGTAGTTTAAGCTAACCATTGTACTGGCCCATGATACAAGCCTGCATTGTACGGTAGAAGCATATTTCAGATTTTTTACTGGCCCTTACAGAAACCATCTGAAGTATTTTCCTTCATTTTGCTATTGCTCTGCATTACTCTACAGCATCCCCAAACATCTAGAGATGTAAATATAAATGCTGGCAGGAAATACTTAATTCATAAATTTAATTAGAAGGCATTGAAAGCCTCTGTAATTACTTACTGCAGCAAGGGTAGCAGGAGGGTAAGCTGTTGCTGGTAGCTTGAAGGCTTTTGTTCATATTAAGCAGCTGCAAGAAATTTTCCCCACAGGAGAACAAAAAAGAGCAAGTCAAGTGTATTCTGTATTAAACTAATAAGCCATCTAAGGTGGGGTTTTTTTGCCTAAATAGGTTAGACGTCTCTTAAAAGCACTACATCTTGCCTTCAGTGTGAGCACCCAGCTGCACAAATACAGATCTATGCTGTGCACACCTACCACATCCATTTTCTGCCTCTGCTCACACCTTTCCACCAGGCTGCACTGATGAAAGCTCAGCTGCATGATGCCTGGGAGCTCCCCTGTGGTGGCTCACCAGGATGGGGACCACACCAAAGGACCCAGGCGACAGGGCATAATTTTGCTCTCAGCAGGGTGGATATGCAGCTCACACTTTAGAGGAACACCACTAACAGCATCACTTCTTTTTTAATTTGAGAGATTAACCTTGTCAATCATTAATGCATAAAAAAAAACCCCAAACCATCAAGTAAACAGGGCATGAAAAAGAAAATTTTAAACAAAATCCATATTACAACTTATGTAACATTAACAAAGCTCACACCGCATTACACGTGCTAAGATATATAATTCTACTTAGCGAGAACTTACTCATCACTATCATCTTGCTAAGCAAGATGCAAGTAGCAAGTGATGAAACAGCACAATACCTCAGCTTGAAAATCAGACATGCAAAGAACATCTCCACATTATCCTCAAAAGCGCCCTTTCTTAAGCCCTAACAAACATTATGCAGCAGGGGAACAGCACATCCTAAATTAAATAGGACTTCACTCCTCCTAACCAGGGGCATGCTTTTCAAGATGGTAGGACAAGAGAAGGGACAACAGGAGATAATTCTCCTACAGATGGGTTAAAAAAGCATTTACTTTCCCACCGCCAAAATGCAAGAGGAGGAAAGAGACACAGTGGAAACGGAGCAGATGAACAGTTGTGCTCTGGATACCTTCACGCCACAGCACCGTGAGCTACACATTAGATTGTGTCTATTCTCACGTGAGCCTTTTGTTCAAGCTCAATATAAACACTTTGAAATGTTTGCAGACTGATTAATACTTTTTTTCCTACTCTGAATGAATAGTAATCAATGCCTCTTTTCCTCTGCTTTCCAGAGCTTGCTCCCCTGGGGGAAAAACTACTTAGACAAAAATGGAGCCAGGGACAGAGTTGCATCCCTACACACTCAGCTCAGCAGCAGGTCAAAGAAAAGTAAGAGTTCATGTTGGCAAATAGATCTGACCAAGGGTTTTTGCTGGATGAGTGTCTCCAGGTTTTTTGGTCTCAGTCAGTGAAAAAGCATTTAGGCTCAAATTACAGGAGCATTGTTCCCATTAATAAGGCAGTAACATTTACCCCCCTCCCCATCAACTCTATAAATTATCACTAGGAAGAAGGAGGGGCAGGAAGAAGAAAAAAGAGGGTATTGTCTTCTCACCATAGCATTCAGTCACATGCACAGCAAGATGCTTCAGAAACTTGACACAACTACAATACAGAGGCACATCACTCCACAAAATCTTTTGGCAAGGCCAGTCCCCATCACCACATGACACCCAATTAGTTGTTTTGATGGTAGTTTTATGTAAATAAAATTGGTTCTGTGAAAAGAGCAGCTCATACATCTGCTTACTAATGCTGTAGCATTTAAACCTCAAACATATAGGCTCAAAATTCACACCGATACTTTAAACATTGTCCTGTAGTATATAATTAAAATGCAACTGACTGCACAGCTGGTTCTATTCTTTTAACTAAATCTCTTTCTAAATTATTACTTGCATGCAACCCTGAGTATACATCTTTGCTTGGAACTAAAATTAATTCTCTTTTCTGCTCTTCATCCAGGACCTAGCCTGCAGATTGTCAGTACTTTTCAGTACAACAGCTTGCTTGTGTCTGACTGCCCAAATACTCCTTTCACCTTAAAAATGAAGAGGAAATTTCCAGTAAACAGGCCTATTACTTTTTGAGCACACACCTATACTGCAAGTCCCATTACCTCTGCGTGACATTCCTAAGGATGCTTAGGGGAACGATGGACCTCTTACCCTTCTGCTTGAGCTCATCAGCTCCGCCAACGCACAAAGGGAAAGCGCCAGAAAGTTGTCTCCAGGTAGAGGATGCTTTGATAACCCAAGAGGAATACATAGTTAGAAACAGGCAAGGAAGAAAAGATGCAAAAAGGTTTTATCCCTCGGGTGCTACTATGCAAGTGAAACTCGAATGAGTAAGGTCAGCTCTGCAGCACCTCAGCTGGTGCTTGACCGAGTAAAGACAGTGTTGTTTTTTAAACTAAAACCCAAAGCAAGCAATAAAATGAGAACAAGATGCTATCAGACAGATCAGTCTACCATCAGCTTCTTTCATTACCAAGGGAGAGCCAAGGCCCACTTATTTTATACTCTCCTTGAATTATCCTCTCACCTGGACATTACCACTACCCTAATAGCCACAGCCAGATTTAGCTAGTCCCAAGGTGTCTTTAAGCAGACAGCCAAGCAAACAAGAACCTCTATTTCTTCATTTTCAACAGAGCAAACTGCTTCTAGGATGTTATTAGACTGTGGCAAAAAAAAAAAAAAAAAAAGTCCCAAGAGAAGATAACAATGAAGAAAAGTCTATTGCAGTACCCTAAATCTGCTGCCTCACTTTCAGACTATCCAAACCACAGCACATGGACATCCAAGTGCAGCGCCAACATCTGTAACTTACATAAAAAGCAATTTCACTTTGCTACAGGTCAGAGCGAAAGGTGGGTAGGGCACAAGGCAAAGGCTACCTGTTCTCCACCCTTCAGCCAGCACAGATGTTCACCCCACTGAAAGGCAAGATCCTAAAAGCATGGATGACGATGCACAGTCGAGCACAGTACCTCAAACACTGACAGTGGGTTTTCAACACCCCTGTGTGGTGACTGTGTCCATCGCATCCAAATGCGCTGCAATTCAAGCCCTCAGTGCTGAGGAGCAGAGGACCAGAAAGTTGAGTTCAGCGAAGAGATTGCCTTTGGATCTTTTATCCAATGTGACAGGAACCGACTGTGGAGTGCTCAGGAACAGAGGAACGATTAGCAAAAATAGTGTGGGATTCGGCATTTCTTCTCTACAAACAAATCTTGTTTATGTAAAGCCTAAGGGATGAATGTGATAGCTTGACAAGACAGAACGATGAAAGTGAGTGGATGCATAATAGACTGTCATAAACCAGAGGGAGAAACATTTGATATTTTGCAAAGGATATATGTACTTTTTTTTTTTTAATTATGAAAAGCAGATATTGGGTTTGTAGCAGGGGGAGAAGAAAACAAGTGTTCACAACATGCGTCATAGTTTTATGCATCAAAACTAACTGCCAAAATACTACCTTCCAATTGCCTGTTTTCAAACAAAATCCTGCTCTGCTGTCTGGGTAACCAGAGCACTTGTACACCGCTGATGACAGGGACCCCAGCTATTTGATCACCTTCTGTCTTTAACTTTCCTCACTAAACACAAAACAAGACAGGGAACTGCACGTGTTCAGCAGTGAAGCTGCTGAATGAAATAAACAAAGCTGCCGAATAAAGCTTTACATGCATTTTTTTCAGTGTTGAGGCTTTCTGGAAATGCCTGACACTATGTATCAGGTACATCACTCAGCAATGAAGGCATCAGATTCTGACTTCCCTTTGGAACAAACAGAAGCTTTATTTTCAGATGATGCTGATGAAATGAAAATATTGCTAAAAGCTGGAGTACCATTATGTGCCCATAGTGATATAATGGAAGGTCAACTAACCTGCAGTTATCTGCATCAAGAAGTCGATATGAACTGCCTTTACCGTACTCCTCCATACCAATGGGATTTATGGTGTGATTAATTGGGTCTCTGATTTCCATAAAAACAGGTAGGATGCTACGCAGCTCCACTTAAGCAGGCAGACAAAACTAGATCACAGCACGCTCAACATTTTACCAACACGTATCATGACAGCACAAACATCCAGAACAGTTGTGCACTGCTGTAGAAAGGACCTAAGGTTCAAAAGGGAAATGGAGTAAGGCTGTTTGATAGCGGGGGAAATACATACTCAGGATGCAGATAAAAACACAAAAGTGTCTCCTTCCTTTAGGAATCTGGAGATGAGTCTGGAAGGGAAAGGTCAAGCAAGTTTCCCCTGAAACAGCATAACTTGTGGGGCTCTCATGCAGTTATAAAGAAGCAGCAAGGAAATGTCATTACAACCTGTAATTTCCTGGCCTAACAGGATATAAGAAGAGATAATATTCTGTCTGTAAACATTAAAATAAGACCCCTTTAGAAAAAATAATCTTTCTGTCATTACAGAAAAAGCACTGCAATGCTACTAAACAATAAAAAGCTCAGAAGAGAATACTTCAAAGACTTCATTTAACTTACACCCACATGCAGGTAATAACTAAAGGGCTCTAGGTTAAAAAAGCCATTGAATAATATACACTTAATAGTCTAATGTACTCACCTTCCCATCATAGCGTTTCACTATAAACTGATCCAGGCCCAGGTCTGAAAGAGGGGGAAAAAAAAAAAAAAAAGAATACTTAAAAAGAAAAATGCTTTTAGAGTATAAAAGTAAGCATTTCTTGGGTTTTCTGTTTGACTGAGGATTAGAAAGTAAAATGCACTGAGTAACATCAGTAGAAAGTACCAGAACAGAAGGAACATTTGTTTGGCTTCATGCATTTTGTACTTTGTATTTCGATCATGAAAGACAACAAAACTCATGGCATCAGAGGAGACGGCCTCCTTCTAGCAGGGACAGTAGGAGCACAGCTCCCAGCACCTATCAAGAGCCTGAAATACCCACCCCAAAGTAAAAGATTTCTGCACTATTACCAGGCAAACATTTCACCCCTGATGCCCTATGTAAATGCATTTTCATAAAACTCTTATTGTTTTCAGTAACACCTTTTGAATGGCTCACAAATGGGAAAACAAAGAATTGTTCCCATAGTGAATTGCGATATTCCCAAATAAATCCAAAACTTGTTCATATTTTAGTATAAAATTGCTCGTAAATAGATTTTGAAGGAGATAAGCTGTAGCTACATTCGTAAGAAGGCAAGTACTTTAGCCAGAAGGGCAGCTTGAAGAAAGGCAGGGAGACGGGTTATTTATACTAGTAAATTCAATCTCTCATACCATCACAAAATGTTTTTTCTATCTTGAAGAGGGTGAGAAAAAAAACCGTTAGCATTTGCAGAGTCAAGGCACAGAGCTCTCAATCTAACCCGCAATGCCTGGCAGGTTATATGCACACTGATGAATGCACATACAAGCAAGATGACAAAAATATTCAGGAAGATTAATTATCTGAGCTTTGCAATCCAAAATCGGGAAGATGTGCCCTGAGAGGAGATTAAGCAGAACTCAAATTGAGCACTTCCAGTAATTTGGGAGAGCACAGGCCAATTTTCAGTTCTCTGAAGAATAAAACCCCTCAGCAGAGCGATGTCCCCTGCATTTTCTGCCACTGTTTATAATTATCACATCCTCATTTCAATTTAAATTAGAAAAAAGATGGAAAAAAAACAAAATAAAACCTCTCCCACGCCTGCTGCATCACCTGCTCGTGAAGGAGGATAATAAAAGCCCTCCCATCTACTGGAAAAGTTCATAATGTTTACGGTGCAGAAAATGGAGTTATTAATCGCTCCAGGGCGACCTCCTCAACCTTTCTGAACCAAAGCAGCTAAAAGTCTTCTGTCACCAATTGCAAATGCCAAGGTAATTTTCAGAGGACTTTCTGGATTTGTGAATATTCAAGCCAGAAAGCACCTTCTCAATATTTTGTGGGCCTGACAACAGAGTGAAAATTGCATGTTCATATGCATTTTCAGACTTTAATCTTCTTCTGAAGAATTTTGTCCTCAAAGTTGTGGGTATAAACGCAGTACAGTAAGTATTGTCACATTTAAAGGCAAGATTCATTAAATAAATGTGTTTATTTTACTAGAGACATGTTATCTGGTCAGAGCTCACCCCTGACCATCCATCTGGATGCTGACCACTAAGCTGAGCTTAGCTTATGTCCATGTGCCATAATAAAGTAATTTCTCAATCACACCTCCTCTTCCCATGCCAGGAAATAGTGCTGTAAGACATATTCCTGACAGCCCGACATTATACACGTACTCACAGAAAGCTAAAAAAAGAGATGGGTTAAAAATAGGAAGTGAAAGTATGTCTTAAGGGCATCCCCCCTCCCCCAACAACTGGACACTACTATCGGGAAAGCAAACAGGTTTCAAAGCAGACCCAAAATGAATGGATGTTTGTGTAGCTAAACAGCAAGGAAAGATGAACTAACAACTATTTTATATAGATATAGATATATTAAAAAATCATATATACTTATAGATAATAAATATTTGTATAATATACAATAAATAATTATATATATACACAAGTCTGTATGTACATATAGAAAAGTTATTCAAAACAGCCAAATGATACCTAAAAGGCAAAATACCAGTACCTATACTAAATGAAGAGGCTAGTGTTACAAACTTTGTGCTCTCCACAGATGTAACATGAGATGGGCAAAAGGGGAGGTGATGGGGGGTATGACTGCAGGGTACTAAAAAGCACCACAAGAGTTCACAGCAATAAATTTCAACAATGATGTAGTCAGCAAAAGAAGAACACACTGACGAAATCAGGAGTTTTGAATACAGGGTAGTTTGCCTCCAGACTAAGGTTTGGTCCAGCCTCATTCACCTAAGCATGGAAATGTTTGTTTCCATGTGTTTACTCAATTCCTGTGGCACCTAACGAAAAGACACAGAAAAACAAAGCATCTGGGTAACCTGAGACTACTCCTGCAAGGGACAGAGTGATGGACCTTGACTGACTTACAGCTTTTTGGTAACTGCATCCAAACCCTCATGCCTGGTGTAGAAGTTACCAGGTCTGTCCTCACATTTCAGAGCTTTGAGCATTTCATTATTTGCTGAAGAAACTGCTTACAACACCATAGCAGTTACAGAAATGTAGTTATTACCCATATCATGTCAGCCTCCTTCGACACAATCGCTTCCGACGAGAAGCAAATATATAACCTTGGTTTATGCATGTCTCGGAGATCAGGGAGAGAGACATTTATATGAAAATGCAACACAAAAATTTGTCACTGCTGCTACTGCCTTTTTTCATGTCACTGTACCAGCTTGCATTACCTATTGCAAGCACAAGCATATTGGTTCACATCAGTGTTTTATGCTCACCCTTTCTCCCAACCATGCACAACGATATCCCCTTTGTTCTGCTGGATTAACTACACTGCATGCTTCAGTCCCTCTATAAAATTCTCCTTACCATAGCTCCCAACAGAATAAGCCAATTCAAAAGCTGAAAAAGGGCATTTATATGTTCAAGGCACACAGTTTTACTCGATACATTTTCCCTTTCCCAATGCACTTTATTTTCTTTTTTATGGACTTAGCTATGTGTTTTTCCACAAGTCTTTAATCTTAATAGTTGACAAAAGGAAACCAAGAAACAAAGTGGGACTGTTGCCTGATGCCTGCTTTCTTTTTTCTTTACATTACATAAAAAACCTGAAAGGCCTTTCCTCCAAGACATTATAATAGGAATTCAGCATTTGTGTAGGCTGGAGAGCTAACGGAAACACTGCGCAAATGAGGACAATCACATCTGAACAAGGAAAGGAAATAATGTTAGTTATTACATCTCTGTTATTCAAAAGGCAGCGTGCTAAGTTAAAGCTACCGCAGGATTGTCTGGAAGTGATACACTCATAAAACAAATATCCCCTGGCTGGGCTATTCCTGACGAGCTGCAGGAACACAAGCTAATAGGCACATTTAACAGTAAAAAAGAGCTTTTCCAACTTTCACTGAAAAGCCGGGGCTGAAACACTGTTTTCCCAGAAATGGATTAAAGGACTTCAAGAGAGACAGCAATGAAATCCAGAAATAGTTTCAGGAGGATACCTGGCTGCTTCATGAAGTCTCCCCGCGACCAAAGGCAGCGCGATGCACACCACAGCTACTCCAGATTGCCTAGGGACCACCCAGAGTAGTTGGGCTTTGGTGCTTGTTTCTGCCCAAACCCAGAGCTTTCACCATGACCTGCCCCAGAACAGACCTTTTATTTACATGGAACACTGTACACCACCTCACCTTTCACTACACTTCTGGATTATCAAAGCCCCTTTTGCTCCCCCAGCCAAGGGTTCTGCACCAGCCACGCGCTTTCAGCGGCACCGATGGTGACCTGCAACGATTTCCAAATTTGCTCACCATAGCCAGCTTGCTTGTAATCGTTAAGTACTGCTATGTATTACTCTTACAAATTCTGATACCACCTGAAGTACTACCAGGGGACCAAGGGCAACAGCAGCACTGCTGTGGAGTACCTAAGCAAGTACCATCACTAGATGTGTTATTTCAGATTAGACTGACACCACTTACTCATCAATACTAAGAATATAGGCATCCACTCTTATCCACATGATGGTACTTTCACAGTACACTAAAAATAAAAAACATTTCAAAATAAATCCAAATTACTTACACTCACTGCCTGCCACAATGGGGAAAAGAGGGTGTTCAACAGGAAACCCATATTCTCTGCATTTACTTCTTTCTTTTTGGGCTGGGGAGGATGTTTTAATGGAGAAGGAATTATTTATGTAAAGGAAAAAAAACCCACAGGATAACCTGCTATTACTCTTGTTCAGCTCTAATCAAATCTAAAGTTAAATGCTTATTATATTTCCATTAACAAAAACATACATTCCACAGATTCACTCAAAGCGAGCTAATTACCACACTTGATAAATATCTAAACAATTACTAAGCTCTTCATGTTATTCCGTTAAAAAAAAAAAACAAACAACAAACAAACCATGGGCAACAGATGTTAGATTGCAATGTTAAAAAATATTTAACGAACTAGCATCCAGAAGAACGATTATATTATGCCAAGAACACAGTTAGGGTCAATTGGAAACCATCATGATTTCCTCTGGGATGCCAGCAGTTTTCCACTGATAGAAAAACCTTTTCAACTCCTTCCAGTCTTTATATCCTTATCAGATTTTTCACATTATTTGGGTAACATTTACTCATCATCTGCTTTTCCTTCATTGTTGCTTAATAGATAACATGGACTCTTTTTCTTGCAAGTAGATGAGCAAAAGGGCCAATTACCAAGACTGAAGAAGAGCCTGCTAACCATGCCTGCAACACACTACGTTACGGGAGGAGAAAATGCTGGACCAAGTTTTCCCCTCCAGAGCTGTAATCCAGCTTCTGATGTTTGTATGCGTATTTTCCCCTGAATTTAAAATGTAATCTGCAAGCAAAGAATGAGCTGCCTGAGATTTCTCAGGGGGCAACACTCTCAGGTTTGTGTTAAAGTCCAGAACTGTTTTGTTCAAAGAACTACTTTGCTCTCATTTATCTCCCCCTCCTCCACCAGGCAAGTCAGTCTCCCCACGAGATGTACATTCATAACACAACTGATCAGCCATACCAACCCATCATCAATACTGGAAGCCCTAATTATTTGTTTCTTCTGATGAATATCACATAAACATGCATGTAAATGCACCTCTCACTTGCTCCTCCTTGGCTAGGTTCCTGGGGTCTCGTATCAGACATTACAGACTCGGAAATTAGTCTTGCCTAGGAATGTTGTATTTTCACAGAAAAAACACCCACATCTATTCACCCTTCTGGTTCAGGAGATAACCACTGAGTTACCTCTCCCTCTCACTCACATCCTTTCCCTGAACACCTCTCCAGCAGATGTATTTGGGGGAGAACACAGAAGTCCCCACGAACAAACCAGAAGGCAAGTTCAGCATCTCTAGTTTCCTTCTGGGTCTTAAATATCCCGGTTGAACACTTTGCATTAACTTTAGCGATCTGTACAAGCCTAGGGAGTCCTCCCCGTCCCCACCAGACCAGGTGAGTGCTTGTCGCAGCTCATGACTGCTGGTTCTACAGAAGATCAGGTTCCTATTTTACAAACTTAACACAACATAACAAATCATCACCCAAGCACTGCAACAATCCGGAAGCCAGCTTGTGCTCAGCTGCTCATGAAGTCCAGACATGAAAAACAAACCGTTTCAAAACCGAGAATCAAGCTATACAGTCAGATCAAGTCACCAGACATCGGCTCCATCTTTCACAGCTCCTTTCCTCCAACACCATCCTGCGCACAGAGGCTGCAGGGGCACAGCTGCTGCTTCTGGCTGAGCTTCAACAGCATGTTCATGGTTTCTTGCAGACAAGAAAAAAAAGAAAAAAAAAAAAAGAAAAAAAATAGAAAAACCTTCCAGATCATTTCCAAGAGTTCAGCTATTTGAGCTGCTGCAGAGCGTGGTGGATCATGAAAAGTGTCTTGCATGCAGCAGGAATTTGGGTTAACCAGGGAGGCTAACACTGGAACTGGTTAGGTCTAACCTGTCTTCATTACAGCACGCTGTGATGAGATATGAAGCCTTTTTTTACTTCTGTCAATCCTTATTGCAAAGGCCAAAAAAACCTAGTACTGGCCGAGTATGTCACAGCTCCTTTTTAGTCCAGGATGCCCCAAAATACTCACTTTCCCCAGGAAAACAAGCAATGCAGAATGGAAACAGAGAAAGCTGGGGAAATTGAGGAAACTCACAGACTAGGAAAGAGAGGAGGACTGGGTAGGCCACCACCAAGCAGGTCCAAGCACTTAGAAACATTAATGCAGGCCAACAGCTACGTAGGACTACAGAGAATGCACCAGCAATGACCTGCAAGTATCAGGCACGGTTACAGCGCGAGTCATGGCTTCATACACCTTTTCCAGAAAAAGCCCACACTGTCTTCAAAGAGCTGCAACATCTAAAATGGAGGGTTTTGCAAACCCTAACCCAGAGACTGAGACGTCATTTTCAGCTGATTTTGGGCTGGGGTACCAAGCAAGCGCCAGGTACGAAGCAACCATCCCTGCTCATCCAGCCTTGGAGCCGAGCAACCTCTCAGCTACCAGAGGAGGTGGGAGGAAAAAAACAACACAGGACTGCAGGGAGCAGATATCACTGCCCACGCTTCTGTTGGCACTTGGACTTTTGAGATAGCAGATAAAGATTTTTTTTTTCTTCTTTTTAAAGCAGCTTCCAAGTTTAATGCCACTCTCTGGCTTATTCTGACAGACACTTGCAAGCTCAGCAAGAGTGTGTCACACCTTAAGCACATCTTGTTTACTTGGAAAAGCTACAGCACAAAGTTTTACTGAACTATTAAGAGAAAGCAACCCACAGGAGCTAATGAACTGGCATTCATTTCCCCCAAGCTAGCAAAACACAGTCTAGAATTAAGTTGACACTTTATTGACAATAAATCAAACCTTCCCCTACGTAATCCATAAAAATGAATCAGGCATAAGATACCTCACAGTAGATTAATAGTTTTAAAATAAGTACAACAGAGACTCAAATACCTCATTACTCTGTATCACTTATATTCCACAGTATTTTCTCTCCGTAAAATAGCAGATACATTAACAAGAAGTTACTCGCTGAGATTAGGACCAGTATCTTAAGCATTCAGAGCATCCCCTGCACTGCTCATGTTTTGGCCTGCTTATGCAGGACCAGCAGGTGATTGCTTCGCCACACAAACCTACCAACAAATACCGCTCACGGAAAACCCTGGGATCAACAGGACTGCAGAAAGTAACCCGTAGTTCAGTTCAAGCATTAACCTACCGAGCTAGTATGATTGCAGCAGGCTACAACGCTACCTGAAGGAGATTTCCAAAGCATGCTCAGGGCTACATCACTACCCAAAGGAGCACCCTGGTATGAAGGCGGGATGCTCCAGCCCTGGTGGAGGACACACCCGAGTCGTGACTAAGGGAGAAAGCAGCCTTGGCATTTCCCTACTAATATATTATCTAGATTATCCTATGAGTCAAAAGTACCAAATGGATGTAAAGTATGGAAATAAACCGGCCAGCAGGTAGCAGTCTTTGTCTTTAATTTCTGGTTTTAAATCAGAACTACCTTTTTTTTTTTCCCCCCACTACCAGCTTTTAAAACATTTGGGAACAAGGTTATGGCTAGTTTGACTTTACTGTAGCATTAAGTGTTTTACTCTTCTACTGTTTATTATGTATTAAAAAAACATTTACTGTGATTGCCATGATGTACAGTGCTCATAAGGAACAATCATCCTAGCAGCAGCTTCATCTAGAAGCAAGTCCATGACTGTAATGTTCTTCAAGACGGATTTTCAAACCAACAAGACAGAAGATGCCCATGCTCCTGCTTTGCCTGCTGATGGGCACCCAAAGCTCAATTTCCATCTCATTCAACTTTCCAAGAGCACCTCTAAGTATCACTAAGGCAATTTTCTTCCCTCATAGGCTGCTTTGTGTGACTGACTGGCAGCATTTACAGGCACTTAAAGGCAGCGACAGGCTTCACAGAGCCATTTAAGCAGCTCACCTAGCCAGGATAATAATAGTTACAGCAGGAAGTTAGTGGCTAAGACTGACAAATTATTTCCCATTAGTCACCTTTGCTTGTCTCCAAAGTAGGTATTTTCTGAGCACTCGTCCACCTATTTTCTGCGCACACTTTAAAATGCACCAAGCACATACATTGTATGGAAGAAGTAAAAGTGGATCAGATGCGTTCAAATTAAACATAGGATGTTTTCTATTTTTAAGCTGGTTGACAAAAAAAAAAATTACTTGCATGGGAAGACTCACACTCAACCAGGTGCTAGTGCTTTTCAAATTACCAGTTCAAGGAGCTTTAGATAGATGCTGAAATTGTGTGTTACTGTCTTATCTAAGAACACTATCGTCTGTTTATTGCTCAAACTACTTCTTCACTGAAGATGAAACCATGTCATTCATATGAAAACGACAGCCATTTTCAGGACTTGATAATAGATATCAATTCACCAACATTCTTTTAACACTAATGCCAGGATTATTTTTTTTGTCCCTCCTGCACACACTTCATATTGTTGTTTTCTAAGCACAAGCGTACATGGTATTTATTTAGCAGCTGTCATGCAAGACATCAAAGCAGTTTCACACTTTGTACATAAACCCCACTCTCAAAAAGTTAACATTTGGGGACTGAGGTTCTTCATTAATGCCTGCAGAGAGAAGAGCCTGTTTCATTCTTTCAGATACACTGTGGGAGACCAAGAAACCTGATTTCCCATGTCTCATCCAAAAGACAAATCTTCTCCAAAACAGAAGACAAGCAAAATCCTCCTGCTACCCCACAAAAACCAACCTCTTACCAAATGCTCAGGACACAGCTTTCCAGACCAGAAAAAAGTGTCTGCTCTCCTGCTTGTTGCCAGCCAAACCCCCAGAGGTACCACAGCTAACATGCTTCCCTGCAATCCGCAGGGAATTTGAAGCCAGCAGAGGCGAGTCCCACCCTGGCCAGCAGCATCACAGCTCAGCCAGGCACATGGGGCTGCCTGGACCCCTTTATTGCTAAGGTTTCCTTGCCAAAGCAACCTCCTTTTGTAGGTCTATGAACACTTCTTAAAATGTTTCCACTGAAGGTAATCTTTCACGATTAAATATGTAAAAAAGTAATCTCATCTGCTCCTCAAGGGCTCATGAGCTCTACTATGCTGCAATAGCACTCTAGGCAACATGGAAGGCATTAGGCTAATTTTGGGTTTGGAGCATGGAGATGGAATAGATAGTTTCAGGAGGTGCTTTCTAGCCCTAGCAATCCCAGGTTCAAAGCTCCCAAGAAGCATACCACGACCAACACTTCTGAACCTGAATGATCACCATTATTTGGCAGTACTGCACTGCTGCCAGTCAGCCAGGTTCAAGCCAGCATGAACACACTGCAGGCTCTGCTGGAGACACGAGTGTGGCCCCTGCACAGCTGCACTGGTAGCTTTATGCCTCACTCATGCATCTGTTGTCTCTCCATTATCCTGCCGCACATCATAGCATTGCCATCACGTATGGGTTTAGAGCATCACTTTTTTTTCACTGTGGCAGCACCCTAATCAGACAGCAACCCCCCTTTTGTGCTGTACCTCTCAACATAACGAGAACGATACCAGACAATATAACTGTTTGATGGGAAGTTTAAAGATCAGGTAAGCAGAGACTGAAGAGTTTATTTCATTCACTGTATTAGTTCCTCCCATTACTACACACACATCACTTACTTTCTGGTTGTTTTTCATTAGGTGTTATTGATCTCACGAAATCCTGCGGTGTCATAAAAACCTCTGATTCACCATGCTCGTTTATGACTTTCAAAGTAGCAAAGTATCTGAAGATTTTGTCTGGTGTGGAGTAGGCTCTGATCCTGTTCTCATATTCCATGACCTGGAAATGAAATTTAACCAGCATTAGATGTGCATGGTTCCTCCCCCAACACCTACATTAGCAGCCACCCTTAGTCCTCTGAAGGTTTTGCCACAGGACAACAAAGCTGTGTGCAGCAACACAACACTTGAGAAAAAAATGCTGAAAGGGTCAACCCCCCTTCCTAGCCTCAGCCTTTTAACTACCAGGAAAATTGGAAATATCAGTTCCTGATGTCCCAGGATTAAGAGCAAACAGTAAGAGTCTTCACTATCAGTACGTTTTGACTGTTCACGATGGCAGAGGAAAAACAAATTAACAAAATCCCTGAAGGCACTTTTAAACATGAACATAAAACAGCACTAGTATCACATTCATGAATCTAAAGCAGCTCAACATTTTAACCATAGTGTTGAAGGGACTGATTTGTGATTAATAAATGAAGTAAAAGAAAAAAAGTCTTGGAGAGCTGGGAGAGACCTTTACTTTCAAGCTGAGCCTTGGAAAAAACTACTTGGAGCCACAGCTGGTTGCTCAGTCACCCAACCTCATTTTTTCCTCTTTTCTATCACATTGGCAAAATACTGCAGAAGCATTCCTTAGTCAGTCCTCTTCTCCCCACCAATCTGCCGCTTGCTAACTCTGCCAGCAGCAATTATTTTGTACCTAGAACCATATTCCCCAACACACAGCTGGAATTAATCAAAGAGAACAGAAAGCTTTTATAAACAAAATCACAACATAAGGCCACAAGGGAGGAAAAAGGCAAAGACCTACACTTCATTATGTATTAGAGCAGAAAACTTTCCTTCTTAGTTCAGCTTTTTATTCCTGCATTACATGCCATGTTTAACAATCCATAATGTACTTGAAACCTCCAGTACTTCTGGCCAAGAGCCACAGGAAAAAAAAAAAAAAACAACCAACGATCTGCTGGAAGAGAACAGGCAAGATCAAGGGTATTGCCAAGGCGGCTGTAGATCATTTACAGCTTTGGTCCTATTTCAGCCTTGTCGTTTAACTCAAACAACTTCTCCACCCTGATGTTTATCAGACAGAAAACACCCTCTCCAGTTTTTCATACTTCTAGGATAAAACAAGCCAAAGTTTTTAATCCCCCAAGCCAGGCTTCAGAAAAGCAACTAGGGGAAAGCAAAGCCTCTCTCCTCTACATTTGTTCCAGCTCATATCTCCAGCAAATGCAGCCAAAGCTGACATTATCTATAATGACAATATCTAAAGCGTTCTCCCCACTCTTCTTAGCATCACCATAGCTTTTTCATAATTCAGAAATGTCCTTGCATCAACCACTACAACCAGCTCCCTCTTTCCTGCAGTCATCAGCACAGAAGAAAATTTTTGTACCTTGGCCCTTTTGCTACTAGACTTTGCACCTATAATCAAACCTACTCCCATTTTTATTGCTTCAGTCCACAAGGTCCACCAAAGATAAGGGCACTGGATAGAGAACAATTATTTTATTGCAAAGTTGCAAGTCACCGTCTATCAGCCGAACCCCGGTAAACGACAACACACACTTTCCCAGCTCTTTCCAGCTGCCAAGCTGCACATCTTTGTCTAGAGCTCCCACCTGGCAGACAGTAACTTGTTATGCCAAAGTTATCTTTTGACTCATGATTGCAGGCCCATATCTCACTCCTTCCTGTAGCATGACCTGATATCATGAATAATACCCCACCCAAGTTGACCAGCCAAAACCATAGTTAACTATTTTTACCTTTGAGCAAGGCAACTAAAACCAACTACAGTATCAAGCCCAGGACTGGAGCCAAGAGCAGACACCACAGACCATGACCAGCAGCTCCCTCCACTCGTGACACCCTTTCAACACAGCCCGCTTTCCAGCTAAAACACTTGTCTGCCTGAGACTTTACATTACTCCCGATTCTCCAAGCTTGTGGAAAAATTTCTTGCAAGGCACTATCAAATGCTTTCTTTCAACCCAACTAGGTAACTCACACCTCTTACTCAACAACTCCATTCCTGCACAAAAGACATTACTCCTGACACTTCTGCTAGTAAAACCATGTTTCATTTTATCCCATTTGACTTCACATCTGCAGCGGATCTTTCCTCTATATCTGTTTTAAGATCTTGCCAAGATGCTACTGATAGGCCTGTTGCTGTCAGGTGCTTTCCTTCTCATTTTTGGAGTATGGGCATTGCCTCGCCTGACATCTTTACAGAGATTCCTCCTTACCAGTCCAGCAACTTCACTGCCAACTCTTTCTTATTCCAAGCTCAGGGTAATCCTAAAGGTACCTGCCTTATTGATGTTAAGCTGTCTACATTTTGCTTCGACTTTGGGCACAGCAATTTTCCCACACCCCATTCAGATCCATGCTGCATGCTCAGTCCACCACGATCATCACTTGCAACAGAAGCAAAGCGTCCATTTACTACATGGTTCCTTCCTAGATCATTTGCCATCCCGTCTTCTATCCATGCGTACTGCTAAATGAAGAGCTTCATCAGATGACTGCCAGGCCCTCATAGGGATGTGATTTTGAACACACGGCTCAAGAACAGGAAAGGTCAGTTTGTTGCTCAAAAGCCATGTAGGGCTCCTAAAGCAATGCGGTGTGGCTCACAAAAGCTTACTAACGACACAGGCTAAAAAAAGGCCTCCTGTCTCTGCGTGCAGCACAACAACCCCACACAGATCTGCAAACCCAGAGGTTTGTCCCCATGCAGTCTGTGGTTTCATAAGAAATATATAAGTGGTTTTGGGCTTCCCCTCATCCAACAAAGGCAGCTGAATGCCTTTACAAAAATAGGACCCAAGCGTGCAGCAGGTGGAGAGCTGCCGGTCTCGTTTTGCATTAGGTCTCAGAGCAGCATCAGACAGCAAAGCAGGAAACTAAGGATTTTCAATGATCATCATCTTCTGATGCAAAGTTTGCCACGTCTGGCTAAAGAGAGCTGAGCTGGCCTACCGCCTCCATGAAGTCTCAAAGCAGCCTCTCTAACGCCCACTGCAGTATATGAAATGTGTGCTACCTGTTAAGCGATTTGAGTTTCAGATCCGAAAGGGAAAATGATTATGTACAGCTACTCAGTTTCATGGGAAGCTACAGTTAGTTTTAATTATCTGCACCCATTTGAGTTCCAACAATTAGCTGTGACATACATGAAACCAGAATTTTCTGGACAAATACATTCCTGAAAAATTATGAGGGACAACAGTCTTGAATAAGTCACAATGCAGACCAAAAAAAGTAGAACCTAAAATACCTGTTTAGTATCTCACAGGCTGTTTTCATCACAACTGAAATCGCACTTCTTCCTCAAACTTTCCTACAAGAACTGAGCAAATGCAGCAACACTTCTTCCCTTTTGCCTGCAGCTGAACTCACAATTGCCTCATTTTTGCTAACATGGTCTAATCAGCTGGCAAAAGCTGACAAATACGCTATAACCCATCCCTCTGACTTCAAGACTGGATTGAACACGAAGCTAGGTCAAGAAGGAAACAGCCAAGACCCTGCAAATGGGAACAACTCACTTATTCAAGACTGAGTGCGAAACACAAAGTGGGTGATAATATGGGTGCCCTGATCTCGCTATACAAATGTGAAAATAAAAGCACACGTGTATATATTTGGGTGTACACACCACCATTTGTGAGGTGTTTTTTATACTGCTTCAAAACAATCTGGACATAAAATCATCCCAGGCAAGTCTCTCCTCTCATGATGTCTCACCTAGGGAATACTCCAAAATACTTTGCTGGCAAAGCGTGCACCCAGGCGGCTGCCTTCCCCCAGTATGCACCAGCCCTCGATGCAGTGGAGAGCAGCCAAAAATTCTCATCCTGTCCTCAGAACTGCAGCCTCATGTAATCAGGGGCCTCCAGAAAGACATTACGTGACCAGAAGGAAAAAGGCCCTTTTTGGCATTTATTAATAGAATATGTACTGGAAGAGAAAGATGAGCAAGTAATCCCTATTGCTCTACAAGAGCAAAGCTGCTGTTGAGACAGTCAATGTTTACGCTAAGCCTCAGGTTAAAAGGAAAAAAAATTAAATCCTGTGCAGACATGAAAATAAAGCTCTAAATTAACATCTTAATTCACTTCCAGAGCATCACTGGGGCCTCCCTGACCATGTGAAAGTGCACGTATCTTAGCAGGGTATATTAATTAGGATTCACTTTCTTTGTGTTTCCTACTGTAATGCACACCAAAATGAAGTCTCAGCATGACTAACACTCCTAAGGCAGCATGCCTGCAGGACTCTGCAAACACTGCAAGGGGATCTTGATAAAGCAGTCGTAATGCTGCATGCAAACACTTTTAGCAAGTTAATTAACACATCAGCCCACCCACCGCTCATCAGCCTTCAAACTACAGCAGCTATAGAAGCTATCTTTTCCTTTTCTGCCTTACACAGTCAGGAGCAATACATTGCATAGCCTGCAAGACAGCACGTGCCCAGTGACCATCCACCACATGCAACCCCAGCACCAGCCCCAGCAGATGCGGAATGATTTGTATTTCAACTTCCTCTTCACTGAATCACTTCCCAAAATAGCAATGTCAAGCCTACTTTATTATTTCACCACTAATCATCAACTTCATTAAAAGCAACATTGGGAAAACAAACAAGTGTTAAACACTTTCAGTTAAGCTTAATTTTTTCTCAAGGAAAACGCCACACTATTTTCAATTAATTATGGGAAGAGTTGGAAAGGGTTTTTACTGTGGGTGGTGGTGGTTGTTTTTTCTAAAAACATATAGAAGGGTCAGGAATTCCCTAGGTGCTATACAACTCATCAGAGGAGCAGCACATCCTGGGAGCAGCCCTGATTTTGAGTTGGGAGCCAGGGCACACCTTCCTCTGTCATCTGAGCTGGAAACATTCAGACATACCTCCTGAGCTGACTCACTGATCAAACACCAAGCCCACAATGGAGCTGCTCAAACACAAACATGGAACCTAGCACCTGGGAGACTACCAGTTGCATCCTCCATTAAACGAAGCAAAAGCCACAGTGGCATTCAGAGCACAGAAGATACACTCTGTCTTAAGGCCGGAGAGAAAAGGGCTTATGCTGGCAAAAAGATTGTGAGGTCTGTTTTAAGCAGTGTTCTCCCTGCTGAAATTGCTGCTCCCGAGTAGAACACTGTAGGAAGAAGGAAGACTATGGACTGAGAAGGGATCCAGGCTACATGTTGTTCCCACTGGACCTGTTGGGCACCCTCCACACCTGGCTCACGTCTTATTTGGAAAGCGCGGCCACATTCCTCCCCTGCCTAGTATGGGAAGGAAAGAGCTGGCCAGTGCAGGCATGGCTCCTAAAAACTGGAATAAAAGTCCTTGCTGGCAAACAAACTTTCTCTGGCTTCCCTTGCCAGAAGCAACCAGCCACATAAGGCAAAAATCAATCATTACATTTACTGTATCAACAAATGTTCTTTTTTAAATATAAGCGTGTGGATGAAGGTGGATCATTTCTTTGCTCTTTGCAACCTGCCTCCATCTGCTGACACTGGACAAAATAACCCGCTTTTCTTGAGTGGTGCTGGCAAGAGTCAAAGTTTTGCTGAAGCTGCCAGAGTACCTGACACCCAGTTGCCAAGAAAATCAGCAGAAGCTGAGAACCCATATTCCTGGACAATTCTGAATATCTCAGTGTAGTATCTTACAACATAACTTCACTGAGCTACCACCAGCGTGGCACAACAGGGAGAGCTTGGAGCCCCAAATACCACAATGCACTTGAAATTTCAAGTTGTGTAATCTACTCTAACCAAGAACAGAATATGATTCAGCAACTTCAAACAGAACAGCTCTTAATTTTTTATGAAAAGCTGTTAAGCCACTATATATGACCATCCACAATTTAACAGCAAATGAGATGCAGCCTCCAGGATACGGATTTAAAAATAATTATCAGAGGCAAATCATACAGAAAGGAATTGTGAAGAGCATATACTCCCGTTCTCCTCTTTGGCACCGCAAAGATATTAAATCATCCAACACAGCCCCATAAAACCAACATCCAGACAGGTTTAAAAAAATAAAATACTGCTGTCTGCCAACTCTCAGTTACAGGATTCTCCATCAGACCAAATCGTACATCTTGCAATAACAGTGGTTATAGATAGTACCAAACTAGCTGTCAGACAGTTCTGTGGAGCCCAAAGCTCTCAGGATTGCCCAACAGTGAAGGCAGGTCACAAGCTGACAATGTAGTTCATTACTCAAGCTTTCCTCCTCTTGAAAACGTGTCTGATATGAAAATGAAATAGGCATAAGCATCAAGAGGGACACACAACTAACCATGAACAGGGAGTGAGGCTGTATTTCAACAACTACATTTACAAAGAATAATTAAAGAAAAAAATTAAAGTACACCTTTCCTATAACCCTCCTTTCCACATTCATCCTTTACTTCCTCCTTCATACACTGTGTATGTTCACAGGCAAAACCAGATGGACTCAGAGACACACATGCTGGATGCCCTACATGGTTTTAAAGCTTTTGCACTGATTCCCTACTTTGCACGCACCATCCTAACAGCCATCAAGGCAGGAGCCTTGATTTCTCAGCAAGCCATTTCTCGGCCATCCAGCTGGAGATGGGAAGAGAGGTCTTTATTTCAGAGGATCAGTGCACTATGGTTTCCAAATAAACAAGTTTCAACCTAAAGAAATCAAGGTAGCATGCCAAGAAAGTAGGTTCCCAAAACAGTAAGGTCCCTTAGAAAATAAAGACAAGTACAGAGCAAAAGCCAGATTCTATACACGTGCTGTACCACAATTTGAATAAGATGTTCTGCAAGTCTTCTCCCTTCTTCCACTGCAGTGCAACGGCTGCAGGTGTAACACGCCCAAGTTCAATACCTTACGGTCCCTGAACCCAGAACGCTTTTTCTTCTTCCCTCCTGGCTGAGCTTCCTCGTCGGCTGATGCAACGGCCTTTCTGCCCTCACTGCCGCTGCTCTCCTCCTCCTCCTCATGCTTCACCTTCTCACTTGGCTCTGTCCTCGGATCCTGTTTTACAGAGGACGAGTCTTCTGCGTAGGCCCTGTACAAGGGAAAAGAAAACACTGGTTTAGGAAATTATCGGGAGGAGTGCTAAGGCTACAAAGTACAAAGATGGCCCTGCAAGGCTCTCCCTGAATGAAACTCCTGTTACAGTTCACCATGGAGGACTGAAAAGCAAAAACAAAGAAGTGATCAGTCTCCTTGGAATATTGCATACTTTTCCCTGCTGTAATCAAATTTCTACCCCCCCCCTCCCCAAAACCCAAACTAATAATCACAGGAAGATTTTCTAGTCCAAGAACGCCAGAGCAAATCACTCAGGCATTTATCGTACCCTCTCCCAAAAACTACAAATGCAAGAAAGATTGGGAAGGGCATACCATACCTCCTCTAGTACTAAACTCCACGCCTGGTCCCCAAAAAAGATTTATATGAAGTGATAGAAATGTGTTTTACCATCAGCACTGCAGGATTCAGAAAGAATAGCCTATTTGTTTCAGCTCAACTGATTTATCTTCTATCTCCAGCAGGTGACAGGCTGTTTTATTTCCCTCTTCCACCAATGACTCTTCTAAACTCCAGTGCTACAGGATTTGTGACAACAAAAACTGGAGTTGTTTATCCTCGAGCTCAAAACACAACTCTGGCAGAGCAAAGGACCCCTTTCCCCTGTTTCTAGACCAAGACTCAATACTCAAAATCACTCAGTCTAAGCCATGAGCAACTCACAGAATTGCAACTGGCAATAGGATAGTTAAATAAAAAGCAGGATAAATCCATAAGCCAAACAGTACTACGGCTTTCCTATGCTTTACTTGTAAAGCAGTTCATAATCAGAAAGAGCTCAGACCACATTAACATCAGTGAAATTATAATCTCTTAAGGATATGTTAACACGTCACAAGCAACAAAGCGAATGGTTTGACAAAATTATTTCTCTTTCTAAAGGACACAAACAGCTCAGGCAAGCATCCTAGCCTGCCTGTAATGAAGCGAAGCTGCCTCTACATTGCATTCCTGGTAATTTATTTTGGATTAATCACAGGGCACAGGGCTTGCACACAGTTAGGTGCCACTCATTAGCCAGCAGCCTTCGGATGAAAGCTGGTACTTTGCTACTCCCTGTAACTATGAACATGGTCATTTACAGCTGCATGAGTTTATTCAAAAAAGTCTGCCTTGGGAGAAAAACAAAAACAAACCAAGATTTTTTTAGTCTCCCAAGCTTTAAGCAAAAGGCTACACATTTCATCCTACCAGTTTCCTGGAAAACACAGATGTGGTATGTAAAACTAGCAGAGAAGAGTCTATGCCTGTCTCCCCAGCAATACAAAGCTTTGCAGCAATCTCAGTGCACCACCTTCCAAAGAAGAAGAAATGAGGGTAGGTGCTCCTTCAATTAATTTAAACGCTATCAAAATAAATAGACAACTCACTCCTTACCAGCATCCAATAATCCACTAACAGTCACAGTACAGGATAGATGGGGAAGGGCTAAAGAACTCAAGTCCTTCCACAGTACTGGTGGGAAGCAAAAATTTTATTATTCTAGCATAAACTCCCAAGAGTGAAACATGACAAAAGCAAATTAACTTTTGTTCATATTGTGACAAATACTTCAGCAAAGTACCAAAAGCACTTGAACATCCACCAAGATCCTAGCATTGCTTTGAAATGCAATAACCCATGGCACTATGGTTGGGTTAAAGCAGTTCAGAGGCTTCTAGTCCACCCTGGGACAGAATACAACTCCATTGCAAGGGTTTGATTTAATAAAATACACAAGTGCTTGGTGAAGAGCAGCACTAATCATGCCTTTTCATGCAAAATGGAGTCTAACATGCCAGCCTCTCCTTTCTGAAAAGGTGCTGAGCCTTTATTTGCCAATAAATTTTCATAAGTCTTACAGCGAAGCACCATCTTTAAGACCTCCACTGAACCAAACTGTCAAAGACAGGATCTGAGTCCTCCACAAGCACCTTAAGATAGGGAAATTATTTCCCCAGAAAAGCCAGATGCCAATCTGTCTCTTGGAGCTTCAAGTCCACACTGGCACCTCTACTGAAGCCCTTCCTGAAAGTTTAATCAGCACTGGCACATCCCTGTGGAGTTGTAGTGTTGGCTGATAGGCAGTTTGCTAGAACAAGCTGTCAGCACTGCTGGTGTAGCCTCAGCTGGCAACAAGGAAAGCCCTTGTGTAGGCAGGACACCAGTCTTAAGTAGCTCTGAGAGAATCTCTTGGGAAAAGGTCCTGGGGACAGAAAAGCAGTAGACAATTGATTGCTTATCTACACAGCTAAGCTATTCCACATGAAACATGCCAGAGAATAGATGTAACAGTGAAGATTTGCTCCTGTAATGCTTGACTGACAGCTAGCAAACCAGGGAAGAGATAGATGAAATTCAAAATCAAACATTTTCAGCAGATCCTACGCATTCCTTCAATCCATCATGCTGTCAAGCCAGCTACAGCAATACAGACATAGGCTGTTTGAATACAGTCAGCTCCCCCCCACCCCCCTCTAGTTTATCCAGGTAATTAACTCTGCTCTACATTTAGATCACCATCCCAGCATACAAGCAAAATGAGCTATGAGAATAAAAGCAGAGTTTGTAGTCTACTTCTCAAGCAAGGTTTTAAACAGTACCTGCTATTCCTCACCTCACCTCCAAACTACTCACTGAATTAACCACTGAAGGATCTGCTCTCTACGTACACCTACTACTCCATCTATTTTACATCCTGCACAACCATCCTCTTCTGAAATCCCTGGCTTCCAACAACTGCAACTTCTATACTGCACCCACATAAAGGAGTCTTTCAATGCAGATGTCAGAGTAAGGCTGGAAAAAACCCATAGCTCCAGAAATATCCAGCCTGCTGGACTGCCATCAGCAAGTGAATTTTTTGATGAGACTGACTTTCCAATCGCATGCCTGTTGCTACAGTTTCTGCACAAGAGGGAAAGGAAAATACAAAGACTCCCTTCACTGTGCGCCAAGGCTAGCTGCCAGCCTCTCTCCAAGGAGCATGCCTGCCCTGGATCCCAGCTGCCATGCTTCAACCCTCCCAATCTCTTCAGGTTTCTATCCCCCTGCAGTGAACTGAATTTGAGGCAAAGACTGTATTTCCTACCTATTTAGTAATGTCTTCTTTTAATCCTTGGAGAAAGCCAACAATCAAGCGTAAGATTAGGTTCGTCATCCGCAAAGAAAACCACCTACCTACCACAGAGGACTACTCAGTGCTAAATTCTCACTTAGTACATCATTCTTTGAGAAAGCCAAACACATGCAACCATAGGACATACATCCATGAAGGATCCTGGGACTCACACCAGGCATTGGCACGATACTCCACAGTTGCAGGTCTTCCAATTAGAGAAATCACAACCCCTCACTTTAAAGTATTTTTCTTCTTTGAGTGACAGAAGCAGAACAGTGTGCTAAAATAACAAAGCTTTATGCCAGAGGTAACAGTGCTCAGTTATTCTAACCCTGAAGGCAGCAGCAAAGTACTTAGCTATCAGATGCTATTTAGGCTCAGAAGGAAATGTAGGAGATCTAACAAGAATTTGAGCACTCAGGAGTCAGCAAAGACCTTGCCACTGAACAAGAAGCAGGAGAGAGGAATCCTGCCTGACAGATGTGTTATTCAGTTGACTAGAGTTGCCACTCTCTCTGTATGCAGAACACCTGGAGACATCCAGGTGAGGTTTAAAAGCCACTTAAAACTTCAGGCTTTCATATTGAAATGCAAAAGCAAGCTTGGACACAACATCCATAAAAACAGGCAACCTCCAGGGACTGGGAGTACTTTCTGTGAGGAGCCGTCTCAACCTCAGCTCAACCATATTAAGCGACTAAATTAGTTAGCTGAGATTTAATAAGAAATTAACCAGAAATGAAGAAGATCCACAACCCAATTTTTCAGGATGTCACCCCACTCACAGGACTTCTTACTACTTTGCTTCCTTGCTCATCTCTCATGGTACCTGACACTGACGTAAATTAGCACAATGAATTTGTGCAAGAACTGCAATGAACACACCAAAATTAAGACAGATTCCAGAGATGAATGTGAATGATTAGATTGAGGAGACAGCTCTGGATAACAGCCACTGCCTAAAATAGGTCCAAGAAGATAAGGACACAGCAGCGTAGTCTGCAAGATGCGCACATCCTTCCTTCCATCCCAGCCAGCAGCAGGAACATCCCCACAGAAAGCGCCTTCAGCTACTGACAGTGCACTCCAAGGAAGAGCTGGACCAACTGGAGGAGATCTGACAGGGAGCAGCAGGAATGGTTAAGGGCCCAGAACACACTGTGGGGAAAACTGACCTAAATAAGTCACGTTGCTATAAGATGGAAAAGAGGAGAGCGAGATAACTGTAATTTATATAAAACAGCTGCTGCAGGACTGTTCTCTTGATCCAGCGAGGACAGGACAAGATGCAGGATGTGCTTAAGGACATCACAAGGGAAGAGACTTACACACTGGAGAAAGGAGAAACCTGCGCATACATAGGTATACATACACAGAAAGCATTTAATGTTAAGGACAGGTGAACACTGGAATCAGCTGCCGGGGAGGATTTATACCATCACTGCTCTCCATCACCAGCAAATTGCTAAAAATAGACGAGACAGCTGCCTGTCAGGACTAGCTTGGAGGCACACAGCCCTGCCTTGGCAGCAGACTAGCTGATTTCTCACGCTCCCTCCCACTCTCTTCTGCCGCAGCCCAGTTTAGGCACCAACACGTGGGCGCAGATGGACAGGCCAGAGCATGAGGACCTCTGCTTCAAGCCCCTTGAAGGGGACTGCTCTGAAGATGAACCTGAACAGTTTTAGGTTAGTCTCACCAGCTAACTTGGATCATGTGGGATAACATGTCGCTCCTTAGAGATGACTCCCTGATAACCTGTAGAAGAAAACAACTGCTGCAACGAAGGCCATCAGCACCTAGTGACACACACTGGAGGCATCCTACTGACATTATCCCAATATCCTCGTAAACTATAAATGTGTTAATTTCTT